CGGATGTTAATGAAACTTTCAGGAACTATTCACAGATGATTGAAATTATTATAAATATGTTTTTTTATGAAAGTCATGGTAGAAATATTTTTAAAATATTTATTACCCCCCATAACTAATTTTATGAAAAAACTAGAAATTCGATCGATCAGGTTTTAGTGATTACAATAATTAAAAGCACAGGGCTTTGAGGAATGCAAATCATGTTTTTTTTGTTTTTAATTGGATACGCAGTACCTGAAAATCAGCTCTGATTTGTAACATACAAAACTCAATAAAACAAAGATATTACTTAATTTCAAATGCTTTTATTTGCTTTTAGTTGTTTTTATGAATATGGACAATATTTTCTGAAAGCAAAAAAAAAATTTTCGATGAAAATGAATTTTAATACAATTATTTGTTATTTCATTAATTATAATAGATTTTACATTTAAGTTGTTAAAATATTATAAAATTAGTTAAAAAGTCAGATCGGCTTTCATAAGTGTCCTTATGAGATAGATGTTTTTTAGCGTTGTAAATTGTATCATTTTGACTAATCAGAAGATCCCCAGTAATTAAGAAATGTAATTTTGTGCTTATAATCGAGCTGTAATTATAAAATACGGAAGACCAACCAGAATATAAGTTAAGTTGCGCTATTTGAGTTAAGCATTGTTCTCCGCTGTTAAGGCCTTTTACTTTTTGGGAAACACGTGTGGAGAAGTTAATTTGATTTTTAATTTCAACTGAGAAGGGTACCTACAAGTATCAGTATCATCTTATAAAATTTATATGATCTTATTTTTATATTAATCTCAGTTACGACATTTTTTCCATAAATGAAATATCAAAATTAATAATAAAATGAATGCAAATACAAATAACAGTAGAATGTAATAAATGTACATAAAATTATAGTATTTTATGTACAATTCTGATAAAATTTCATAAGAAAGGTACCTATAAATTAATTAGATACCTTTCTTAAGAAATATGAAATTTAATGTCACTCTTAACAGTTTTATTTTTAATTTCTTTACAATATATTTCCCATAAAGCATCATAAACGTAAAGGTGAAAGCTAAGTACAAAAAAAAAAAAAAATTAGACCGCTGAAAGTTTTAGTTAAAAATAACGGGTAAATAATTTGTTCACATAAATGTAAATTTCACTTTTCTCCTTCCAGAGAACAAATTAGCCTCATGGAATTCAGTAAATATATTATTCATCACATGTCAAGAGACGCGAAAAGTTTATGACCTGCTTTGTTTTATTTTCAAATTACATCTTTTTGGCACAAAAGCTAAGTTAAGTTTGGTTCAAAATATTTTAAATAAACATTATAATTTCTGATTTTCTTAAAATAAGTTTTGAAAAATGATAATTGATATTTAAAAAAATTTCAAAGTCAGATTTCCATTTTTTTTAAAATGGAAAAAAAATGGTCAATTTTGCTGACTCAAAAAAACTAGATTTTTAACGAAAATTTCGGACGTGCTAGGAACGATTAAAAAAATGGAAAAAAAATACCCCAAAATACTTTGACCTTTCCTCTTAATAATAACAAACATTTAGACGATAAAATTTTGTTTTCGTCAAGTTTGGCGTCTTTTTCATCATGCTATGCTCTTTTTTAGCGATCTCGTGGAGGTACCTACCTTAAATCCTTTTCAAAATTTGACAAACAGAATTTTCACTGTGTCAATAGTTGATTTGCAGTGTATCATTATATTGTTAGTAGAGCCATATATAGATGAAATTTTAGAATGCAATAAATATAATTACAGCACATTGATGTCTATTGTGATCTTTTTAAACAGATCTTTTATTAAGCAAAGCTTAAAATTAGCTCTTCAAAGAACAGTCAAACAAGATATTTTTATTCATACCTCATTTATTAAAAGAAGTGATCTTAAGCAACAGAGTTTAATAAGTAGATAAGATTCCAAATAACTTTTATCTCAATTCGCTTACTAAATACATTAGAGGCAGGTTTTTTTATCTCAAGTCCCTCAAGAAAATAACTTATTGAAAGAACAATTTTATATATATATATATATATATATATAAAATGGGGCATCTATTTCAAATAAAAAGTGTCCACTATAATAACATTTGTAGTTGTATATGACAAAGTGGAAAAAGTTTTCTTATGACTCGTTTTGTCCTTTAGGACTTCATTGAACTAAATTTGTTATGTTGGCACAACTACACATGTGCACAAACAAGGGATGCTGGGAATGTTTTTTTTTTTTTTTTTAATCTAGCCAATTTCATTTAGATTCTTTTTATCACTTTTGTTAATAGATATCCCACACTGTGATGATAGAAGTTCTGCCAGGAATGGGGAAATGTTATAACAGACAGGATGCAATTTACTGTATACAACCTTGCGATCAAGGCACTTTCTCCTTTGATCGGAGAAGCATTTTTTTAATGTCAAAATTGTAGTCAGTCTCACTACAGTGGGCAGCCAATGCATTTGATGTATTGTTTTGTAAAATGTCCTTTTTGTGTTCATATAACCTTTTTAGATTCCTTAAGGTTTCTCCCATGTCATTGTTGTGACAATTATTACAGGTAATCGAGTAAATTCCTCCTTCAAATTTTAGGTTGTTGTTTTGTTTGGTATCAAGTAAGTCTTTTATTGTTTTAGATGTAATAGTAACAACTTTTATGTTGAGTTTAGATAGATTCCAATTGTAGATGTGGTAAAGTTAGTTGGTAAGACAATATATTTTTTGATTCATCAGGACAGGCCATTTTCCTATTTTGGAATATTTTATGAGTCCTTTGTTTCACACTGAATATAAAATAATTAGGGTACTTAAAAAATTCCCAGCATCTGTCGTTTGTGCATGTGCAGTTGCACCAACATAACAAATTTAGTCCAATGAAGTCTTAAAGGATGAGATGCATCACAAGAAAACTTTTTCTACTTTGTTATATATTTTCTCCCCAGCATTGTTCTTGATCTCATAATATATGTGTGAACACTGGTGGCAACAGTGTTTTATGGTTGAACGTAATGTTCAGGTCAGACCTCAAGATTGTGTTCAAATATGGAAGATTTGCCACTTGGCATTAACATCAGGGTCAACACTTATTTACACATGCTATCTTAAATATTGATACTGTCAGCCTATAAATATAGCATACCTTATACATATTTAAGATCACTAAAAACATTTTAGAGTATTTGATAAGTAAAAGATATACTCTACAGATGTTCTTTTGATAAATCTTATTTTCCATCTTAATTCTAAGATGGATAAGTTCCCAAGCAGCCATTGGTTTTTATGCTATGAGCTATTATTATCAATTTGTTAATTTATACAAGTCTTTTGGAAGAGGCCAAGTGCTTAGTTAAACATTCTTGCAGCAAATTGTTATTCTGTATCATGTTAATACCAAATTTTAGTTTCTTGATAATTATGTTTTTGTTGTCAGATTTCATTCGCAATGTTAGCAAGATTATTGTGTAAGTGGTTGAGACAAATTCAAAACAACTACATGCGCACACACACACACAGACCAGAGTTATAAAATACCAAAGTTATGATAAACAAGCAACCATGGTGGGTCTAATAATGCATCCAGTAAGAAAAATGATTATAGAGTGATGACTAATACTGGATATTATACAGATTAAAATAGGAAGCTGAAAATGAAACAATGAAAATGAAAACAATTTCATTCATTACTGACTACTTCTCCTGAATTAGGTTCTATTAAAACACTTGCCTGATGAACAAGATGAGAGTTCGATGATTTATTTATTTAAAAAAAAAAAAAAAAAAAAAAAAAAAAAAAAAAGAGAGAAAGAAAGCTGATAGAAATATTAAAACATTATCAGATGAGAAAGGGATAATGCCTGGACTGATAATTAATCCAGGCCGAAAAAAATTTCCTTAAAAGAAATAAAATCCCAGAAAAGCCAAAATAGGTACATGCATTGTAGCAATAATAAAACCACAAGCATCAAAATTCATCCCATAATTTTACCTTTTTTTTTTTTTAAAAAAAAAAAAAAAAAAAAAAAACGATTTTCTTTACCTGCTCGCTTTCTTCCTAGAAAGATAAAAATGAAGATGGAACTTTTGAAAAGGAAGAGAATATTTACATAAGAGTAATTTTTACAAAAACAATCATGTCACTGCCAAATTTTGATGCAGTTGCCCAGACAAATAGAAAATCTGATGATAGCATACAAACTAAGAAAAAATGCAATGAAAAATGAATGACAACTGATCTGTAAGTTTTGAGAAGTTTAGAATGAAAGTGTATAACAGGCTCAGCTAACCTCATTTTGCAAATTATGATTATAATCTCCAGCTTCCTAAAATGGACACTGATTTTTTGTTTCTTTTATTTAACAGAAAAACTGAGAAGTATCTAGAAAATTTTAAAGTTAGGGATGTTAAATTGTTAAGTCTGCACAATTATTCAAATTTTAAATTCAAGGATATTTAATCATGCTAATTTTTCTATTTCTTTTGTAAGCTAGAGAAAAAAGTATATAAAAGTAATTTCTCTCAGCTTTATTGTATATAAGTGAGATATACTTTGGCTTTGTCACATTCAGTTCGAGTTAACAATCTTTCCCCATGGTTATTTACAGCTGCTAAAATAACTTAAAAAAAGATTGCAGGTTTGTAGAAAAATTGGCTTAAAATTTATGCTTTCAAATAGTTGACAGCCAAACATAAAACATTTAAATAAATACATAAAACAAACATGCAAAGAAAAACAAAATACATTAAAATAAAAAAGTTTCAAAAGAGTGCTTAAAATAATTTCTAAATTAACAGACATTGGAAAATAAAAAAATAAATTAGAAAGGTTATGAATGGGCAAAGTATTGAATAAGAAGAGCACTAGATTTATTAGCAGTCAAAAAATGCCTGCCAATTTCTGTTGTGTTTTAACAAGTCTTATTGCTTTGTACTTGTTGATTTGTACAAGTCATTAATGAAGTGGGGGGAGGGGTTGTACATCAGTTTTGGCAGTATTACCGGCTGAGTGTTGTTCTTATCAGCAAATGGGTTGAAATCATCCAAAGTGCCTTGGGTGCCTTGGGTTGCTTGTCTCACTGATGGATCCTGGAATCAGATAAACACTTATGGTCAAGCAAAGGTGTATGGTAGATGACTGAGGTTTTCAGAATAATCCACACCTATTCATTTTTTTATTATTTCATACTGAAAGCTATAATATACATACAGATACATTCAACTAAAAAACTACTGCTACTTGACCGAATCTTCCCTTTAATTTGCTTGAAACCAGAACCAAATTAAAAAGATAGGTACTAAGATGTATGAATACTTGTCTAACCAGAAACATCCATTCCCAGAATATTTGCTGCTTGCCACAACACAGCAAAACTTGAGCTTTTCTTGCTTTGTCTACTAAAACAAGGAAAGAGAATCCATTGCACTGTAACATTTTCTTTGTAAGTCAAGGTAAATTGTTTTAATTCACTGTCAATATTCGGACTTCTGAAACAGATGGTAAGAGTAAAAATTAAAATTGCTTTTGTATTGGAGAATATAACTTTTCTAAGAAAAAAAATTCAAGGACCATTATATAGATGATTAAGTAAAATCCTCTCTTAACATGCTAGCAAATAAATTATGATCAATTTTAATGAAAAAATTCCTTTCAAAATGAACTAACACAATTGCAGAGGTTTCTTTAAAAAAAAAAAAAAAAAAAATTTGTTCCAACTTTTATTGAATGACGTGCTTATTTTTAAGATTTATAGAGAAAGAATAAGCAAACTGATTGCAGATTGTTAGCATTTCACTTTATTGTTGGATGCACCCAAGAGAGCAGAAAGACCTGCAAGTTAGCTTAACTGGCCATTATGAAATGGCATAAAATAGGTTATGCAACATCCAGAACCATTGTATTATGTATTAATGAACAATGGTTTGATTTTGACAGTTTTTAAAAACTAGATAAAATTTTTTTCCATCCCAACAGATTATTGAGAAGATAAAACATAAGATCACAGCCAATAGTGAACAAATACAAAAGTTACTTTACTCTTATGACTAAACATCCTTAGCTTTTGCTTTTAATCCAGCTTTTCTAATATCAAGCTATAAAAACCCATTAATATGGCACTTTGTAAAACCAGACAGTGGACACATTTGTGAATCAAAATACCAGCTAAAATCAAAGAACACGTACTCAAGAATCAAACTTCTAAATTAGATTTGACTTTAGAAATAATTCTATCAGTCAAATTTCTGATCACATTTTTACTGTTAAATATCTTAATTCTACTACAACATCCATTTAAAATGTTTAGTAAAATGAAAAAAAAAGAAAAAATGCCATCCTTTTTTCACCTTTGAAATTTAATTTATACAAGCTTTTTTTTTTTTTTATAATTTATTTTTAAATTAGTGATTTTTGAAAATGGAAATTGAACAATTGAAGCAAACTACCAAAAGTAAAAAAAAAAAAAAAAAATTAATAAAAATCCTTTTCTTTTTATGAGTTGAGAGACAAGGGAGCCATATTTGAAAACAAATGAATATCTAGTTTCTAACTGTAATGGACCTGCAGTTCAGATTGTGAAAAATACAGGGTTTTATATGGGTTTTACAAAATCCAAGAATACAAATTCAATGGCAACAGAGGTGACACTATCACAAGCAAATTTAAGCAGAGACAGTAACAAAAGGTACAATTAAGACAAAGACAAAAATGAAATTAAAATACACAAGTATCTTATTTCAAAAAATAAATTAAAAATACATAAGTGAAAAAATAAAGGAAACAAAATAAAATTAGGATAAAAAAAAAAAAAAAAAAAAAACACACAAATGTAAAAGCTGCCAATTATCAGACCAATTAAAAGGCAATATTTTCATAAAAACAAAAAATATTCTAAAAATTTGACAATTTTTCAACATAGGTTATTAACGAAGAATATTAAAAGTTAATTTACAAATGTTTAAATTTATATAATTTCATAGGTTTTCAAAATTCCATTACAATTCTGCAATCAAACCAATCATTTTAAATTTTATGATTTTTAAGATAAAAATTCTTGTAAAGAGAACCAATTATGTTTAGATATGCACATTATACAGTGAATTTTCCATATTCAATGCTGGGTTCAAGAATACAGAACCATAAATATGAAGTTGGAGAGGTGTCTGAAAAGAACTTGGCATGACCCACTTGACAAAACTTAACTAAATGCATTTTTTTTTTTTTTTTTTTATAGGGTTTCTTGGTAAAGACAAAACTTTTCAGTACTCCCTCATAATTCAGGGGTTAAACATATAGAAAAATGTATTAAAGAAATAAAATAAAAAATTGAATTATTAATTATCAGATCCCTTTTAAAGAGCATAAAAACATATCCAAAATAATAGTCAAGATTGTTAAGGTGTTTTTCTCTCAAAAAAAAAAAAAAAAAAAAAAAAAAAAAAAAAAATCAATAATATCCAGAATATTTTACACCATAACAATTTTGTCTGAACTTATAAATTAAGTGAATCAATTTCTAAAAAGTTATTCTTACCATCGCTTGATAATGGAATTGATAGTTTGAATTTAAATTGAAGTTTCAGTTTTGAAACATGGGAATTTCAGTTTTCAGATGAGATGATATATATATATATATATATATATATATATATATATATATATATATATAAATATATATATATATATATATATATATATTTGTCAGCAGTTACAGAGAGAGTTAAAAAAGTTATATTCCTTGCACTGATCACACCAAGTGGCATATATGAAATTGATTATTTTGTTAAATAATAGACCAGTGAGACTTTCTATAGACAGTAAAATTACAGAGTGTTATTATTGGAGTGAAAAGGACAATTTTACATAAAAGGAGTAACAAAAGTAAAATTCTTCCATTAATGAACTGAATAAATCTCAAGTTCTGGTTGTTGGAATATGTTGACCCACTATTTGACGGATCTAAAGCCCACATGGTCAGAAGTCTTCAGAGATGTCTATTTTTCTGACATAATTACTAATATTGTTTAATACAAAGCGTTATTCTTTTTGTATTAAATTCACTTAACAAATGGATCAATCTTATATCCTCTATGATGAAAATATCTTGCCTACAAGAAACCCTGGAGTCAATGTAATGATATTTTTCAAAAGTGAAATATTTGTTCATTGAATATGTAAATGTATTTCTTAGTAGATATGAGAAAATACATTTTACTTTATGAATTAAATCTTAATGGCAACTTAAAGTATTTTCTATTTTCATTCATTTCGGAATTGGCTTATTAATATCAATTTCATACATGTCATATGAGATGGATTTTTTTTTTTTTAAGCTGAAGAAAGAAAACTGCTGTAGAAAATTTTTCATATACAAATCAATTTAGCACTTAAAAATGACTTTTTTTAATTGGCAAAACACAAATTTCTTTCATCTTTATTTTTTAACCAAAAGGCAAATTATTATTATGCAATTTGAGCATGTAAGAAATATAAAAAAATTCAGGTTATATCAAATAAATCATGTTGGAAAGAGGCCTTTTAGAAATTCAAGGTTAAAAGGAAATATTAGAATTTAACAATTAAAATGAAATGAGACAAAAAAAAAGTTACAAATTTTCTGAGTAGAATATATTTTTTGTTACATAGTTGTACAGGATTTTTTAAGCGACATTTAAAAGAAACTTTCAGCTATCCAAACTTCAATAAGTCACTTTTAAAGTCAGTTCTTATACAAAGAAAAAGAAACTGGATGTGGAATTTAAACTTCCAAATAGAAAAAAAATTAGTGTGTCTAGACTAAAATTTCCCAACACTTTTTTACTATTCACTTTGCAAATATTTATATTATATTTAACCATTGCATACAAAACATATCCATTTATGCTTCAAGTCTAATAGGATTATTGACAAGAAATAGCAACCAACAACTTATATAATGTGTGAAAGATGGCAAGTGGAAAAAAGAAAGCCTTAAATTAAATAACTGGCAAATTTAAGAATAAGAACACCATATCACTTTGTTCTGACCTTTCAAAAAGGTCCTGTATAATTTTGCTTGTTAGAAGTCTTAAAATTTAGAAAAGTCAATATATTGTCTAGGTATGAAGGCTAAAAGAGTTGTGTGTCTCTTTATAATAAAGAAAACAAGGCTACTTCTTGCCTGCTCACTGCATCTTTGTACAAAATTAAACCACATGATGCCAAACCAAGTGAGAACCAAGTAATGAACATCAACAAATGATTTTCATTGCTTGATATTTCCTGTTTCTATAGCTTCAATCATAAAAAAAAATTTAAAAAAAAAAAAAAATTTAAAAAAGTTAATCTCATCACTTTTAATGAGTTAAACTCATTACTTTTAATTTACTAAAGCCCATTAAATTATTGTTATAGAAATTGAAATTATTTTTACCATTTCTAACATGTTCATTTTTTTTTTTTTTTTTTTTTTGTCTTTTTTTCTTAGTCAAAACTTGTTTGGGGGTAGTTGTTTTTTTTTCTTTGTCAATTAAAAATAATTTTTGTCAATTGAAAAATTTAAAAGTTACTCAGCAACCACTGGCTGAATTGAACTGAAAATTACTTTAATCTTTTGTACACATTTAAAAATATTGCACTCATAATAATTGTGCAATAATGTACCATTTTTGTTGTGTTATGGTAACAAACAGAAATCAGATAACTGTAATAATAATAATAATTGTAAGCCAGTAGTAAAGTCAATAGGAGAAATATTAGTTTTGAAGACTAGTAACAGTTAAAAGTTTTGTTCTTTCACACAATAAATTCATTTAATTGCACCTGTTCAGTAGAGCTTTAAATTATGATTTGTTCCCTTTCTAATATAATTGAATAAAATGTAAGTATTTATGTTGCTTTCAACCATAGAAGGTTAATAAAGAAAGAAAAACAAAAAAAAAAACTGATAATACCAAACAAAGAGCCATGGAAAAAATTTGAATACCATGCTATTCTCTTTCAAGTAAAAAAGAATGAAAAAAAAAAAATAAATAAATAAAAAAATACATCTTTTTGATCAATAAGCAATGAGGTTAGAGATCACATGTTTATCCACACACACACACACACA